TACCACTTGAGCTACAGCATCACTTCCGGTTTTCTAGTGGTTTATTGGCGATAGGAGTCTCACGGTCTTTCCTGCCTGGGCTGTCTTTGAACTGAGATCCTCCTGAGTAGCTAGGATTACAGGCATGGTGAGCCACCGGCATCCAGCTTTTACATCTTTTCCTATCTTCTGAAATCATTTTTAAATGCCTTAATGAAAATTGAGTTTGGACTTGGAATCCACTTGATTATAAGAAATATAATATTTGTTCATTAAAGACAGAGCTATTTGAATATTAAAAATATATTTTAAATGGTAACATTTGGGATTTTTTTTTTCTTTTTTTTGTCAGTCATGGGGCTTGAACCCTGGACTTGGGCGCTGTCCCTGAGCTCTTCAGCTCAAGGCTAGGACTCTACCACTTGAGCCACAGCGACACTTCCGGTTTTCTGGTGGTTTATTGGAGCTCAGAGTCTCATGGACTTTCCTGCTTGGGTTGGCTTTGAACTGTGATCCTCAGATCTCAGCATCCAGAAAACCAGAAATGGTGCTGTGGCTCAAGTGGTAGAGCACTTGGCTTGAGCTGAAATGCTGAGGGACAGCAAGCACCCAGGCCCAGAGTTCAGGCCCCACGACCAACAACAACAACAACAAAAAAAAAGAAAAAAGAAAGAAAGAAAGAAAGAAAAAGAAAAAAAGAGTGTTATTAACAAACCTTGATCAAGAATTAACCTCACTATTTTAATGGTAAAACCTCATATAGAAATTGCTTTATTGGTATCTGTCTATCTTGTTCTGGGAGTTAAACCTAGACATGGTGCATTTCTAGAATATGTCCCTGAGGTCTGGTGACAGTGGCTCACTCCTGTAATCCTAGCTATTCAAGGGTGAGATCTGAGGATCACAGTTTGAAGCCAGCCTGGGCAGGAACCATGACACTCTTATCTCCAATTAACCACCAGAAAACCAGAAGTGGTGCTGGAGCTCAAAGTGGTAGAGTACTATCTTTGAGCACAAGAGCTCAGGGACAGCACCCAGATCCTGAGTTCAAACTCCATGACCAACAACAATAAATAATGTGTCCCATGGTTGAGCTATAGCCCCAAATCAAGTTCCTTTTTTTTTTTTTTTTTGGTCAGTCGTGGGCCTGAATGAACTCTGGGCCTGGGCACTGTCCCTCAGCTCTTCAGCTCAAGGCTAGCGCTCTACCACCTGATACACAGCACCACTTCTGGCTTTTTTTCCCTGCTTATGTGGTGCTGAGGAATCGAACCTAGGGCCTCATGCATGCAAGGCAAGCGCTCTACCACTGAGCCACCTTCCCAGTCCCTCAAGTTCCTTTATATAATTTTAATTTTTTAAAATATAAATTTGTTATCAAGTTTTTCTTTTTTATTGCTGGTCCTGGGGCTTGAACTCAGGGCCTGGGCACTGTCCTTGAGCCTCTCTGTGCTCAAGGCAAGTGCTCTACCACTTGAGCCACAGCACCACTTCTGGCTTTTTCTGATTATGTGGTGCTGACCCAGGGTTTCATGTATGCTAGGCAAGTACTCTACCACTAAGTCACATTCCCAGATCCTATCAAGTTTCTTTTTTTTGTCAGTCGTAGGGCTTGAACTCTGGGCCTGGTACTGTACCTCAGTTCTTCAGCTCAATACTAGCACTCTACCACTTGAGCCACAGCGCCACTTCAGGTTTTCTAGTGGTTTGTTGGAGATAAGTCTCACGGACTTTTCTGCACAAGCTGGTTTTGAAGCACAATCCTCAGATCTCAGCCTTCTGATTAGCTAGGATTACGGGTATGAGCCATCTGCACCTGGCTCAAGCTTTTTTTTTTTTTCTTTTTTGGCTGGTTGTGGGGCTTAAACTCTGGGCCTGGGCTCTTCAGGTCAAGGCTAGTGTTCTACATTTGAACCACAGCACCACTTTCGGTTTTTCCTGTTTATGTGGTGCTAAGGAATCGAACCCAGGGCTTCATGCATGCAAGGCAAGCACTCTATCACTGAGCCACCTTCCTAGCCCTGCCCCCCCTTCCCAGATCAAGTTTTTTCAGAATCAACTTTAAGCTGTGTGCTGGTGGCTCATGCCTGTAATCCTAGCTACTCAGGAGGCTGAGATCTGAGGATTGCAGTTCAAAGCCAGCCAGAGCAAGAAAGTTTTTGAAACTATTATCTCCAGTAAACTACCAGAAAACTGGAAGTGGCATTGTGGCTCAAGTGGTAGAGCACTTGCCTTGAGCTGAAGAGCTGAGGGACAGTACCCAGGCCCAGAGTTCAAACCCCACGACTGACCAAAAATAAAATAAATTTTAGATTTTTTTGTTGTTGTTGACTGTGGGGCTTGAATTCAGGGTCTGGGCTAGGTTCCTGAGCTCTTTTGCTCAAGGCTAGCATTCTACCACTTTGAGTCACTGGCCACCTAGATTTTAGAACTATCTTATTTGGGTTTTAGTCAAAGTTATTATTTCATGTATTTCTATTTCTTTCTTTTTTTTTTTGGGTCCAGTTGTGGGGCCTGAACTCTGGGCCTGGGCGCTGTCCCTCAGCTCTTCAGCTCAAGGCTAGCGCTCTACCACTTGAGCCACAGCGCCATTTCTGGCTTTTTTTCTTTTTGCTTATGTGGTGCTGAGGAATCAAACCCAGAGCCTCTTGCTTGCAAGGCAAGCGCTCTACCACTGAGCCCTACTTCATGTATTTCTTATGCAATGTATTTCTTTCATCAGCTAGGAGGTATGTGTTCCCTTATATGCAAATATGTTGCTATTCCTTCTCTCCTTTCCCCCCTTTTCTTCCTTTTCTGCCTTCCTTCCTTTCCCCTCCTTCCTCATAGAAATGGAATGACTTTTTTCCAATACACACAGATAGTTCAAAACTCCTTCCAGCTTTTCCAGCATGTTGTTCTAAAATTTTCTGCATGCATGATGGCATATATAAGGATCAATTTAAGGTTAAATTTTCACGGAATGCTATACAGGTAGGAAGGCCACTAGGGAAGGCCAATCTGAAAGACCAGTCGTGGGTACTGAACCACAACAGCTTGATTTGCATGTCACACTATTACCACCAGGGGGCAACGAAGCCCACTTCTGAAAGCTGCCTGGGGCAGAGCTCCAGAGACAGGCCGGCCCCAGCTGGGGATGGTCCTAGACTCCAGGGGAGGTTTGCCGACCCTGCCACAACCTCCAGCTGGGACCACGTGGAACCTCCTCCTGCAAGAGAGCCCCCAGTTCAATGTCACTCATCCAGACCTTGTAACCTCTACTGACTGACCTCAGATCACACCCATCGTAACTGCCTCTGTAACTCCATAGAGACAGGGACAGGGACACTATGTGACTGGGTGTCACAAAACCTGTGGTGAAAAGCACATCTGGCCTGTTGACCTTCAAATCCAGTGGTAACCAAGTCACCGTTTTGTCCACAGCAGCTGGAATAGGTTCGGGATTCCCCAACTCCCATCTCTGGCTCTCAGGAACACACGAAGACCCTTCACAATCCCCTGGCATCATGGTTAGGGCCTTCTACGTGCACAGCTTTATCTCAGCCTGTCCATGGGATTGGGTGTCTGCATTTGTGGTGCCAGGGATTGAACCACTCAGGACTCTCCGGGTCTCCAGTTCCCTACCATAACTCTTAGTTCCCTTCCAGCTCCGGCCCAGGATGCTTCTCTGCCTCTGCTCCCCAAAACTCAGCTCCCTGTTAACTTTGGCTGAAGGGCATCCAGGAGCCATGGCTTCAAACATGTCTTCTCAATTCTTACATCTCACAGTTCCGAAGACTATCTTTTTTTTTTTTCTCTAGAGTTCTCCTATCTGAAGTTCTGAGACTTTCTATTCCCCCCTCCTATATCATGGGGCTTAAACTCTAGGCCTGGGTGCTGTCCCTGAGCTTTTTTGCTCAAGGCTAGTGCTCTATCACTGAGCCACAGTGCCACTTCTGGTTTTCTGGTGGTAAAATGGAGATGAGTCTCATGAACTTTCTTGCCCAGGCTGGCACCAAATCCCAATCCTCAGATTTCAGCCTCCTGAGTAGCTAGTATAATAGGCACGAGCCATCAGCACATGGCAAAAATGATCGGTTTTTACCTTCTCCCTGAAGTCCTTCAAGTCTTACCAGAAGGCTGCAACAGGTCCTCACAGAAGCGCTACCGCAGCCAGAGTTGGGCTTGCATATGTGTCTTGTCTCCTACACTACAATGGATTCTCCAAAAAGGCACAGGCTTTGTTAGCTACAGAAGCCCCAAGATACTGTGCAGAGTAGGGCTCAGCCAACACTGGCTGAGTGGCTATTTGATGGTCACTCCTGCTCCCTGCGGGTAGCCCAAGCCCCAGCCCCAGCAGGGAGGTACGCCATCAATGCACAGGCGAACAATTAGGCCTGGAAGGAGGAGGGAGGCAGGACTGGCCTCCAGGAAGCTGGGTAGCCCCTACTTTCTCCCATCTCCCCTCTTCCCTTCCCCATTACCAGGCACACACAGCCCAGGCCAGTTGTTCACCAAGTCAACACAGTTTATTACCGAACTTCACTTTCACCTTCACACAGACTATTTCAAAGAGCTGGAACAAGTGGGGGGGGGGGGGGGGGAGAGGGACAGATGCCCCTCAGGAGCCAGGACCCCTGGCTTCCCAGGGCCAGGGCAGGGAGGGAGCGTTAGGCCGTCAATCTCCGGGCACCAGCTCTCCACGTGCACGCGCACAGCAAGCCAGCAGCCCCTCACACATAAATACAGACACACTTAACAAAAATAGTATATCATCTTCACAAGGAATAAAAACTAGTCTCGAATATGTACAGCAGAGAGCCGGGGGCAGCCAGAGCTGGGCTGGGACCCCCCCAGGGATGAGACAGGCCAAAGGTGGAGCAGAGGAGAGGGAGGCAGGCCTAAAGGCTTCAGGGGCCAGGCCACTCTGACCTTGGCAACCCAGTTGCCCAGGCTGGATGGGAATTGGGTACAAATCTGCCTAGCAGAAAAGGATAGAACCCTCTGCTCAGCGTCCCCCCCTCCCCCGTGCCCCCTCCCCCCCACCATCCCTGCCACTCTGGGTAGCAGGCTCTCCCTGCCTGAGGTAGGGAAGACCCCAGGCCTCCCACAGCTGCTCCCTGTAGCTCCCCTTCACTTCTGGCCTGAGGCCCCTGAGCCCCGGTTCCTATGGGCAGCAACCCAAGACAAAGATGCCACAGGCTGGTCTTGCAGGAAGTGAGGCAGCTGGAGCCATAAACAGCTCTGGGACACCTGTCTTGGGCCCAGTTGGTCCCTCAGTCATGGTGATGGGAGCCAGGGGTGGGTGGGGAAGGGACTTGGGTGGTACTGCGACCGCAAGGGCCACCGTAGCTTTAGCATAGTTGCTTCCTGCAGCTAGCATCCCTTCCCTCGGGGTGGGGCTGGCCTCAAGGCTGAGAGGCCTCTGGAGAACATTCAGACTGGGAGTCGGGGACTTTGGCGAGGCCAGAGGCGGGAGGAAGTCCTGGTCCTTGCTCTTCCATCCCAAGTAGCCTGAATGCCTAATTAGTTAAAAGTGGCCTCAAAAGGCTCCTGGGGGTGGAGATGGAAGGAAGTGGGGGCCAGGCCCACAGGGGAATGGGAAATGGTCAATTCTGAGGCCACAAACATCAAAACAAAGGCAACCTAGTCTCTCTTTCTGGGGGAAGAGGTTCAGAAAACTTCCCAGCTCCCTGCCGAGAAGGCATTCTCAGGAAGCTAGGGGGTAATACAGGTTCTACCGATGAGGCAGGGCCCTCCTGACCCCTACCCTCCTCCACCCCACTCCTGCCGGCCTCCACGGGGCAGATTTGGGGAAAACTTTGTGGTTTTTGAGGCCAAGAGAATTGAGGTGTGGGGGAAGGTGTCTCTCACAGAAGCGTGGTAGATTCTAGAAAACTAACTGCAGGGGACCAGGTCTAGACCCAACCCTGTGATGGGTGGGGTGGGGTGGGGGACATGTAGTGGTTCTCCTGGTGGTGATGGTGGCAAGAGGGAGGAATGTGGCAGGGGCAGGAGGGTGAGTGAGCGGTCAGTGTCTGGTCATTTCCGACTGAAGAGCGAGCCCAGCAGAACCACACCGGCCACAGTCATGCCCGTCAGGAACCAGCGGTTGAAGCGCTCCTGGCCCTTCCGACTCTCAGCTGCTGCATTGTTCCCGTAGAGTTCCACAAAAGTGTCCTGAGGGGAGAGAAGCGGGGGATACTGTGTGAATCCTACAGCAGGGGCCTGGTGGGAGAAAGGGGACATCTGGTGACATGGCTCCTTCTTCTAGAGGGGGCCAGATGGATAGCCAGGCCGGCTGGTGTGTGGGCAGGGCAGGGCAGGGGATAACAAGGATGCAAACGTGACCACCCCTCCCGGGAGGAGGTAAGCAGCAGCCCTGCTCCAAGCTCAAGTCAGGAGAGAGGCACATGATCCAGGAATGAGGAGCTGTGGGGCTTTGAGCCAGCCTGGAGCACCTTTCTGTGAGTAAGCTCTAATCCTCCCACCAGTGCTGCTCGGCTCTGGTCCCAAGGGCAGAACAGGAATGAGACTCTGGGAGCCAAAGGACCTCTTCAAGGTCACCCCACTAGAGCACCAAACGTGGACAGATTCCAAACCTGGTGTCTAGCTACCAGAAGAGAGAGAGAGAGAGAGAGTGTGTATGAATGGCCACACTCCTGCCTCTGCTGGGGTACATTTACACCGGGCCCCACCCAGCTGAGTGGCAGCTCCCACCCACAGGGCCTGCTCTCCTCCAGTTGCCTCAGACCCCACCCACCAGTGTGTTCACGTGGGACACCTGCTCGATCCACCTCTAGCCTGATGACCCCTCAGGCCATGTCCCAACCTAAAGATTTCTAAAAAAGCAGATGAGATCACAGCTTCCTGTACTCACAGTCCTCCAGCAGTCCCCATACCAAGGAAAGAGGGTCATTCATGCCTGTACCCCGGGCTCCTAGCAGAGTACCATGTGCTGAGCTTAGACTGAACTAAAAGAACCCTCAACATGTATCCAGGCCTGCAGCAGTGAGCAATATGCCAGGGTCCTAGAGGAAGAGCCCCCTTTCTGCTTGGGGCAAGGCACTCAACACTTCCCAGTGGACCAAACTCCATCCAGTCCCTCCAGGGTCTTGACTCTTCCAAGGCTCCCCTAAGGCCTGGAATAAAGGCCTGGCTCCTCACTTGCTGCGCCAGCAGTCAGCAAGTCCTCCGTCCTCCCAGTGTCCTCAGCCCATCACCCCAGCCTCTGTGCTGATCTTCCCACTCAATGTCCCAAACTACCCCTCTCTGCTACTCTCTGGTCTATTTTTTTTCCCAGCACTTTTTGTCCTTTCCTTGTTTTTTTTTTTTTTGGTCTGTTGTGGGGCCTGAACTCTGGGCTTGGGCACTGTCCCTCAGCTCTACCACTTGAGCCACAACACCACTTCCAGCTTTTTGTGCTTATGGGGTGCTGAGGAATCGAACCCAGGGCCTCACGCATGCAAGGCAAGCACTCTACCACTGAGCCACCTTCCTAGTCCCCTTTCCTTGTTTTTTTGAGATGGGCTCACTGAGTTTTCTACTCTTTGCTTCAGCCTCCTGAGTGCTGGGATTACAGGGTTGTTCCAACCTGCTCTGCCTTTTGCTCCTCACCACTTTCCTTTTTTTTTTGGTCGGTCATAGGGCCTGAACTCCAGGCTGGGCACTGTCCCTCAGCTCTTCAGCTCAAGGCTAGCACTCTATCACTTGAGCCACAGTGCCACTTCTGACCTTTTCTATTTCTGTGGTGCTGAGGAATTGAACCGAGGACCTCATGCATGTGAGGCACTCTACTGCTGAGCCTCTTTCCCAGCCCATTCATCATTTTTCATAACCTGCTTGTATGCTGTGTTTTGTTGTGATTGGGCTCCTGTAGCAGATGGATCTGGATGAAGGTAAAGACCCTGTTTTGTCCCCATGTATCAGTACCCAAACCGGAGTCTAGCACAGCTCCACAGCCATGTGTTGCAGAATGTTTCAGTCAGCAACACAGATTAAAATGGAGTTAGTCCTTTTTGTGTGTGTGTCGGTACTGAGGCTTGATCTCAGAGACTGAGCACTGCCCTTAGTATTATCTGCTCAAAGCTGGAGCAGGAGGGGTTGGGGAGGAAACAAACAAAAACAAAACAAAAAAGAAAAGAAAAAAGAAAAAGTGAAACTGAGGCTCTACTTCTGTGCTTTGTGGTGGTTAATTGGAGATAAGAGTCTCAGACTTTCCTGGGTTGGTTTCACACTGTGATCCTCAGCTCAGATCTCAGCCTCCTGAGTAGCTAGGATTCAGGTGGGAGCCTCTGGTGCCTATAATACTAGCTACTTAGGAGGCTGAGGTCTGAGGATCACAGTTCAAAGCCAGCCCAGGCAGGAAAGTCTGTGAGACACTCTAATTAATCACCAGAAAAACTGAAGTAGCACGGTGGCTCAAGTGGTAGAGCACCTGCCTTGAGATAAAAAGCTCAGAGACAGTGCCCAGGCCCAGAGTTCAAGCCCCACTACTGACCAAGACAAAAAACAAACAAAGAAACAAAAAACAGTGGAGCTAAAGAATTCCTGTCATCTGGCCTAGTAAAACTGTGGCTCTCATAATGTTCCAGCACCATGCATTCCTCTCCTTGCCAGACTGTGAGGGTGCTGGCACGAGCAAGCTGGTTGGGCTTCCAGTTACATAGAAGTATAGCCTTGATCTTTCTCTTCCTGAAAGCAGCCTGAGGTATCCTGTAGAAATGGTTTGTTACCTTCTGGACCCAGAAAAATCTCACAAAGTCATGCAAATCAGGGTGCCTGCCTAGCCAGCATAAGAATGGGAGGTCAGGGGCTGGGAAGGTGGCTCAGTGGTACAGCGCTTGCCTTGCACACATGAGGCTCTGGGTTCAATTCCTCAGCACCACATAAGCAAAAAGAAAAAAGCCGGAAGTGGCACTGTGGCTCAAGTGGTAGAGTGCTAGCCTTGAGCTGAAGAGCTGAGGGACAGTGCCCAGGCCAAGAGTTCAGGCACCATAACCGGACCCACCCCCCCACCCCTAAAAAAAAAAAAAGAATGGGAGGTCAAACCTCAGTACTGCCCAGTCCTCAACATCATGCAAATCAAGAGGTTAAAATCTTCTTCTTCTTCTTTTTTTTTGGTCAGTCGTGGGGCTTGAACTCTGGGCCTCGGCACTGTCCCTCAGCTCCAGCTCAAGGCTAGCACTCTATCACTTGAGCCACAGCACCACTTCCAGTTTTCTGAGTGGTTTACTGGAGGTAAGAGTCTCACAGTCTTTCCTGCCTGGGCTGGCTTTGAACTGTGATCCTCAGATGTCAGCCACCTGAGTAGCTAGGATTACAGGCATGAGCCACTAGGGCCCAGCTAAGAGGTTAAAATCTTAATACCTGAGAAACAAGTGGGGGATGAAGATTAAGTGGTAGAATGCCTGCCTACCGAACAAGTGCAAGGTCCTGAATTCAAATCCTATTTACTACCACTAAAACAATAGTTGCAAAAAGCAAACCAGAAACTGCCCAGGCTAGGAAAGAGCTGTATATCCCAAAGTCACCAATGTTCGAATGCTGTCCCTTTAAAGACACAATCATCACCATTCCAATGTTGTGATGGAGTAAGGTGAGCCCAGGCCAGAGTGGAGGTAGCCACAAGACAGTGGCCCAAAGAGTGCTGAATTTTTACTGCACAGAAATAAAAATACAGAAAGCAGTGCTGAACTGAAGGTTTTACGTGTAGATTCTCTGGTCATTGACCAAAACATACTAGGTGCACTATAGTACCTACGGAGGCTCATGGTTAGATTAATTGAAGCTCTGCCTGCCACACTGGGATGATCCTCCATGGAAGGAACATTGTTCCTAAACCTAAAGAGATTGTATAGAAGAGATCCCAGAAGCAACTTAGTACAAAGGGATAAATTCAGCATAACAGAAATACAAATAAAAGTAGCACACATGTACAGCACACACTAACAGTAATAAATGATCAGGTTCATAGTGCTCAGCTTTTTTTTCCCCTTCATTTTTTGGCCAGTCCTGGACCTTGAACTCAGGACCTGGGCACTGTCTCTGAGCTTCTTTTGCTCAAGGGTAGTACTCTACCACTTGAACCACAGTGCCACTTCCAGCCTTTTCTGTGTACGTGGTGCTGAGGAATGGAACCCAGGGCTTCATGCATGCTAGACAAGCACTCTACCATTAAGCTACACATTCCTAGTCCCAAGTGCCCAGCTTTTTTGGCTCCCGTTGGTGCTCCACCTGAGCCATGCCTCCTGGTTAACTAGAGATGAAATCTCTCAGATTTGTCTAATCTGGCTTCCAACCCTGATCTCAGATCTCAGCCTCCTGAGTAGATAGAATTATAGACATGAGTCACTGACACTCAGCTATACTATGCTTTTTTTTTTTTGGTCATAGGGCTTAACTGCGCCTTTAACCTTGGGCCTGAGTCTTTGAGCTCTTCAGCTCAAGGCAAGTGCTCTACCACCTGAGCCGCAGAGCTACTTCTGGTTTACAGGCATGAGCCACTGGCACCTGGCTTACTATGCTTTTTTTTTAACATAAAAAATTTATAGCTGGGTGCTGATGGCTCACACCTAGCTACTCAGGAAGCTGAGATCTGAGGATCACAGTTCAAAGCCAGCTCAGGCAAGAAAGGAAAATCTATTAGACTCTTAGCTCCAATTAATCACCAAAAAGCTGGAAGTGGAGACATGACTCAAATGGTAGAGGGCTAGTCTTAAGCAAAAAAGCTCAGGGATGCTGCCCTGAGTTCAAGCCCCAGTACTGGGACAAGAAGAAAAAAGTTTACTATATACAACTACGGTAGTGTGGGACTAGCAGCAGCCTCAGATGCCTTTGCCCCACTTTGAATTACGTCATTTTCTCCTGTGCTATTGTTTAGGTTTGTGAAGTACACTCTGATGTTTATGCAACAACAAAATAGCCCAACAACACATTTCTCAGCTCACATCTTGGTTAAACAAAAATGTACTTAACAGAATGAATGTCCTGCACGTCCACTTAGTGCCATACACTGTAATTGCATACATGCATTCCCCTGTCAGAGTCCTCAAGAGGTAGACGTGCCCCCTTTCACGGATGAGTAGCCTGAGGCTTACCATAGGGAGCTAACAGACCAGAGCATGCTGTGAGCGCAAAGCTGTCCCTCTGTGGAGAGCATGCTTATTCTGTGCTGGCGG